GATCTGGCCAACTCTTCCACAGCCTGCTCCGAACTGTCCACCTCTTCCATAGCCTTCTCTAATCTGGCCACCTCTACCCCAGCTACTCCTCCTCAAGGGATCGCTAGTATAAATGGTTGTTTACTTTCAAAGCCATTCATAGGGCTAGTATGTACAGGATTGAAGGTGAAAATAAAGCCATTCATATGAGAAAAGAAATTGCTTTTCTTCCTTTGTTTTATCCCCTCTCCATTGTTTTTTTTCCAAATTACACATGCGTTAATTAATGACATTGCATCCCAATGCCCTGCGGATCATCCATTACCACAACGCATGTGTAAAACTAGCCTCAAATTGTTTTGTTTAGGTTTCTTATTTACAGTTTTGCACTCCCTGAATGTTTAACATTCCGCAGAAAGGTAACATTTAAAACTGACTCTAATTTAACCTTTTTCCTCTATAGACCCCTTAAAAACTCACAATTATCACCAGATAGAAGGCAATTCTATTTTTAAGGAGTGATAGCTTGTGTGATCATTTTTGTGTATTTACATTGATAGACAAAATCCACTTAAGAATCAATAAAGTATGTGTATGTGGTAAAATCAGCCTATTTGTTCAGAATTACCTTCCGTAAAATGAAAAAGCCATTTTTAATTGTTGACAAACAACAAAAACAAATAAAGTTTTATGCACAATTGAGCACATGGATAAGGTTATTTTCATTAAAGTCTAATTGTAGTTTAATAACATGATCTAAATAAATTCAGGGTGCATCAACACAGTAGGTTATTTCACATTGTCTTACCATTGGTTTAGTTTCCCTCAACATGAGAAGAAAAGGCAAAAGACTGCGGATAAAGACCTTTGTGCTGTGTGGAAGCCTCTTTCCCTCTGCAGCGATCCACTGAAATCATTAGTCTTCCCTCTCAGGAGCAGTGAGAGTGAGCATTGCTGATTGCAGAGCTTCAGTTGTGAATAAGGCAGGGTACATTTTGGACCACTGCAGAGAGGCAACTGCTTTCATTCAGAGTGCAGTGGTCCTTACTTGCAGCCTGGTGCCAGCCACAGACTTTCTTCTGGGTCGGGGTGCTACATAAAACAAACCAATGCTAAGACATTGAGCACTTACTGTTTTATGTAATTAAATTATGTCAATGAAATTACAGTAGAGCTTTAGGCCTCATTAACATGGTTGTTCATAGCCGTACACCAACCAGATCAGTGTTTCCGATTAGTTGCAGCTGCTCAACCTGTACAAATAAATGACAGGCTGAGAGGTTCCACAGCTTTCCAAATGTAATAAAACGTGGAGCTCAGGACAGATGGACACAAACAGTCTGCGTACTGGGCCACTCATCTATCCCAGTCAGATTAAATCGCTACTTAAAGGAGAATTATGGGGTGAGTGAAATACACTCATCCCCATAATTCAAGCTGACCTGTGACACTGAATCTATCACAGGTCAGCTCTATTGATCGGTGAACACATACCGCCGATCGCTGACTTCCCGATCCTCTATCTGCATAGAGCAGTCACTGTCAGCCACCGCTCCCCGCAGGGATTTCCCTCCCCTCTCCAATCCTTTAGCACTGACTGGAAGAACGGATGGGGAGGGGGTGGGCACAGCTGGCTCTGCCTCTAGCCAGCTGTCAATCAGTATTGTCGGGATCCGTCCCGGCTGCGGTACGGCTTTGCTCTCTCAGCACATAGGGGGCAATAGCCCGCTATATACTGAGTTTTTGGTCACCGGAGGACATTAGTATATGTCCTCCTGTGACCCTGAAGAGAACTATGGCCAAAAAAGGTTAGGCCATAGTTCTCTTTTAAGTGATTGCATGCAAACAGTATCATTGATTAGTACAGGCTTCTTGTCTGCAGTTAATTGGAAACACCTGTTTATACCTGCCACAGAAATATGCTGATCTGGGTGGTGTCTGGCTATGAATGGCAGTGAGAACGAGGTCCTAAAGTAAATTGGACATAAGTGGGCTGCCATTGCTGACTTCCTTTAGTAAATGCTAGTCGCCTGGCAAACATACAGATCAGAAAACTCAGAATTCCTTACCTGTACAATTGTTCCAGGTCGGTGACTTATAGCATTGAGGAAAAGGGTCAGCATGACAATTGGAATTTTTAAGAAATCAGCAATGGCAGTTTCCATGCTTCTCTCATGCCAGGTTTACTTTAAGCTGATCAAATTCATTAATATTTAAAAAAATGAAAAAGACTATAACGTTCCATTATAAAACCTTTAAATGAATCTGTAATGAATGATCAAATGTGTTCCGGTAGTCAGAATCCAGTTAATTCTGCTGTAATTCCCCTGTGCACTTAGGCAAAAAAGCGTACCTTTAGGCTTTCAGCTCTATACATTATAGCCCTTTGTGTTTCTGAAATGATTGGAAAGAACTTTGTGCATCAGTGTTGTCTGAGGTGTCAAAACTAGGGATATGATCACTGTAGACACTTTCTGACCCCAGTGCGAGAGCTATAACTGCATAGACAATATTCTAACATGCATGTAGCTTATATGAGGCGTTCCTGGCTTGCCTTGCTATCCTAGTTTTGTCTTCTAATTTTTCTGATCTGTCTAACAGCAACCACTCTCATGATGGTAATTATCACCATGCGCCTCACATGCTGAGCCTGATGCCTCTTGCTGCTCTGTTTTTCTGCTCCAGCTTTTCTTTCTGACAGTTTTAAAGGTCTGTTTTCAATGCCATGATTAAATGGAGAATTTCTAAAACACAGGATATACCTTATTATGTTTTCTTGTTCCAACCCTCTAGTAAGCCAAATGGGTTAGAAAATGAATATTACGACTGGTATAAAATAAAAGACTATAGATGTGTTCTTCACATGACACATGTATTGCTAAGCAGTATATATTTTGTAACTTGCCTATAGCACAATTTTGCATTTTGCATGCACATAGCTTATACTTTATTGATACAAATCTTTTATTTGGACCCTAATTATAGTTCAGCTGAGAATAGAATGGAGTACATGGAGCCTAATGTCTGCCACGGCATCATTTGATGACTTGATGGGGCCTTAGAGTGACACAGAAGGGACAGCATTATGTACCATCATGGTACTGCCTGACATTAGACCCTCTCCGTCTTTTAAGTGGAAGGCACTTACAAGTAGAAATCCAGAAGATAAAAGGATATAGGCAATTTTTCTGTAAGGGAAACCTTTTCTGAGAGAAATGGGGAGGCTTCTATTGCTGCTTCCTGTACTGAAAATACTTGTTGCTTGACAAAAACTCACCTTTTTCCTTAAAAGTGTATTTTTAGCCAAAACATCTGTCAGGCATCCATTATTATTTATTTATTTATTTTTAATCATTTTTTTTTTTCTTTTCCCCTAACCTCCCTATTCCTTAACACAAAACCAATCACTAAAATGATCGGAGGGGCAGGGCTGGGAAAAGAATGAGGTAGAATTCTCTGTACTTCATTACTCTATTAATTTAAAGCCCAGTAGATACTTAGAAGAATAACTCCACGCAAATGTTTTATTAACCCTTGCAGTGGGGCTACCCCTGCATTGCAAGGGTTAACTGTTCCTTTTGGTCTAGGGAGGAAAATAACAGTTATACCCACCCGATCCATGGAGCTGGCTTGTTCTTAGACCGGTCCTTCCAACCTCGCTCCTCCTATGCTGCATCGGTCTAAGGTCTTCTTTAAAGCATATTTCCACTTTTGCAGTCAAATTGGGATAACAGCTACTTTATATTTGTTACATGTTCCCAATCACATTGCATAACTTAAAAAAAAAAATTGCAGCTTACCTATTTTATATGCTGTTTTCTGGAAACTTCAGGACTGAAAATCCTGCTTAGTTCTCACTGTTTGAGGGGACTGGGGGAATAATTGCTTACCATTATCGCTTGCAAACCAGATTTGTGGGACTGTCTAGGGTTAGAGACCTCCAAGTTGCCCTGGCACATTGCAATCTATTCTACGCACTAGAAGCTGCCTGTAGTGTCCTATGTATATTCCCGCTCCACACAAACAGATAGAAAGGCGAGAAATGTTTTAAAATTATATTTTTTTTTGGTATGCTGTGTGGATGGGAACACATGACAAACATATACTTGGGAGGTTTCTCAAATTTTAATGCAAAAGTAGAAATACATTTTTTTTTTTAAAAGCCTGAAAGGGGTTTCGGCGTTTCCCTGCCCAATACAAATCTAAGAAAAAAAGGGGTTTGGTTACAGATACACTTAAATACTTTGTTACTAACCTAGAGAAAATATGCACATAAAGACTTTTGGCTTTGCTCTGACTTTCCTCACATGCATTTCTGGATCGGGAAGTACTGAAGCCAGAGGGGCAGCATAACTGCCAAGCAATTGCCATTTTCAGAAGGGAGTCAGCAATGGCAGCCCCTACAAATAATCCTAAAAAAGGTTTATTTTATTAATATGTTCATGGATGATATCATATGTGTCCTCTGTGTTCACAGTTTTTGACTTGAAACCAGACTCAGACCTCTGGTCCATTCATCTCCATGTAGTACTCAATGGGGTTCATCAACCACCTGCACATTCTTCTTGGAAGCAAGAATAGAACTGATCCTGCTGTAATAAAGGGAGCACCATAACATTCACATGGACATGTCGTGATACCAAGTTTCCCCTACAGCAATGCCTCTATATAATTGGATATTTTGTTTTTAAATCAACCTGTCATGATAAGAACTGTCATAGTTACATTTATTTTTTTTATTGCTGTTGAAGTACCTGTCATCCTGATCCCATCTTTAAATACTGGTTAGTCACTGACCTCCAACAAGCCTGTATATATCAGGTATGAGAGCACTTGACACGCACATACTTGTTCCAGGTCAGTGACCCACCAAGTACTGAAGCAAGGATAAGGATGACAAAAACCAGTCAACGATAGCAGATATAACATATTTCTGCCCTGACAGATTCTTAAGGAAGTGTGATTGATCTCATCTATGTTCATATTTGCTCTTTTAACAGTTATTATTTTTCCCATTGCAGATCAAGAAGTCGAGTCCTGTAAGCTGTAGCCCTGTGTGTGAAGACCGATCCAACCAGACCTGATTCTTGTCTTTCGTCTCTTTCACACTCACTGTGATATCAGTAAAGTCAATGATACACAAGCCTTAATAGTGTGATTATTTACCCCAAACAGTAGGCACTAGAAATAATGAAAGAGAAGAGAACCACCCTAATCATTTAATTAAGAGCTGAGCTTAAAACCACTTATTGATTTGTTTTTCCATTAATCTGAGACAGCCAATGACCTATCACTTTGAGAAACACTACAGCCAGAAAACTGTCAGCATAAAAGACAGCCATCAAAGAGGCATAGGGAGCAGAACACCTACCAGCCTCATTGGAGGAACAAGTCTACCCTAATAATTCATAGTGAAAACACTGAAAAGCAGAACACATTATTCACAAATAGGAAAGACTTGGAACAGAGTGTAGACGAGTCAAGCTGGCCACAGATGGTTCAATTTTTAGGAAGATTATTGAACAAATAATCTTTATCACAATGATCTCTGCTGATAGAATATAATTAAAGGAGAACTATGGGGTAAGTGTTTTTCCCCATAGTTCTCCTAAGGGTCACGGGAGGACATATACTAGCCTCCTCCCGTGACCCAAAGCTCAGTATATCGCGAGCTGCAGCGGTATACTGAGACCGCTGCACCCGGGACGGATCCCGAAATTACTGTCGAGATGCACCCAGCTGCGTGAGTGACAGCTGGCTCTGCCTATCTGGAGGCAGAGCCAGCTGCACCCGCCCCCTCCCCCGTCCGTTCCTCCAGTCAGCGCTGGAGGATCGGAGCGGGGAGGGGAGAATCCCTACAGGGAGCCGTGAGTGACAGTCACGGCTCTCTGCAGGGAGATGATCGAGAAGTGAGCGAGCGACGGTATGTGTTCGCTCACTTCCCGATCTATTGAGCCGACCTGTGACAGTTTTATTGCCGCACGTTGCAGCACGTTGGCTCGAACTATGAGGATGAGTGAAAATCAGTCACCTCATAGTTCTCCTTTAAAATATTTGTATGCCAGTCATTCCATTTTACACTAACTGGTCATCCTTTCTAAACATTTTCCCTCAGTAGCAAGTAACATTTACACTGTAATTGCTCTGTGTGTTCAACACTTTTTTGTAGATCTTCCAGCAAGCTGGCAATAGTGTGGACTGCCAACTCCCATCATATCTGCTGTTGGTGACCGTTGAATGCTGTGAAGTTATTCATGCTCAAGATTCAAAGAATCTTCACTGAAGTGTCTGTGGCCAGCATTAGAGATCGCTATAGGAGAGGGAAATAGGCGGTTGTAGCTGGACAATACTGGTCATTCATAAGCAACTCAAGCGGTACACTGCATGTGTATCAGACAGACAAGACTCCAAATAACAATCCTACTTCACCAGACACGTCAGCAAATGGTTAAAAGAAAAGGACAAACTACGCTGCTCTCCCAATATGCCAATGGTAGGAGGTTGCAAAAAAAAAAATCACCCATCTTGTGCCCGTTTTCTCTCACAGGTTTACTGTTTTCTGCAGAAAGAACTTATTTTTATCAAAGCAGAACACCGGAAACAATGTATTAACCCTTGCAGTGGGTCTGCCTGTGCACTGCAAGGGTTAACAGCTCTTTTTGAAAAAACGTAGAACCAGCACAGTTGGGTTCTACAGTTTTATGTATTAAAAATGTATTAAATGGGTTAATACATTTAATGCGTGGAGTTCTGCTGTAAATGAGCAGCATTTTGGCCACACATAGTTCAAACCTGGACAATAGAATTCTTCCAATGTTCTTTTGAGTCTCATACAGATGTGTCTTGGCTGCTTCTATCAGAGCCTTCTGAGAAAGGTGGATGCTTTGTGACAAATTCCTGGGTCACACTTCACCAAAAACCTGTAGTATTAGGAAGTCGGGGTAGTAGCATGTACTATTGCTTAAAGTGTACCCGTGGCCAGGGTGTGGAAGTCAAGTTTTTACATTCTATTCACAAGCAGACGATGACATTTAAATAAGCCTCTCAGGCTGCACTGTGGAGCAATTCATCCTCAAATTTCACAGTAAAAGAAATGAAGCCCTCCAAGTCTGGTCTCTGAGTAGCTCAGCTCTTTCTGCTCTCCTCTTCCTGGGTACCTGCTCTGTGCTCACATTCGGGATTAGAAGGCTGGAAGTCAGAGCTAGAAGGAGAGAGTATAATGAGCCTAGCCGCTGAAAATGATTTCACTGTAAACTTTAAAGATGACTTCTTACACAATGCCTGCAGCTACAGAGGTCAATGAAGTCTTGTTTTAAAGCCAATTTATGGTTTGATGTATCTGAAGTTCCAGGCAAACAGCTAAACACACAGAGTGAATACTTATAATCCAGCTGTAGTGCCTGCCCAAGGTTATATAACCTTGTCTTCCACCTATGAGATTTACATGGCTTTGTCACACAGCACAACTCTATGTGACAGGAAAGGAGATTTGATTTTTCTCTGCTGCCTATAAGTAACACGGGTCTTGTCCCTCCCACGGCCCTTAACTGGACACGCAAATGAAAAGCAGCAGACTCATGAGGTGATCTCTCTGCTCACTCCTATTAGACAGTGTCAGTGACAGTGTCTTTGCAAAGTGGCATCTCAACCTACTGATTCGCATTTTGCCAGCACTCCCCCACCACCCTTCCTTTGTTGCAGCCAGACAAAACACAGGGGTCTATTCACGAAGCTGCCGAAGGATATGGCCGTAGCTTCGGCCGATCCTTCGGCTAGCTTCGGCCCCAGGACCCCCTTACTCTCCCTGGCGGCCCGGGAGTCTCCTGCTCCTGGCCGCCAAGGAAAGAAGCCAATTGCTAGGCCCAAGTACTGTCACATGACACAAGGAGTGAAGTAATCGCTTTCCCTAGCATCTGACACCAACTGGTTATTTTAGTGCTGACTGCAATGGTGGAACGGGGGGCATTTACATAGATATTGTCAATTTGTCCTGAAAGGGCAAGGTGAAAATATCTTTTTGATGCTGAACTCTAGGTGAATATTAAAAACCAGTTAACTATGTGTTTAATTTCGTGTCTTTTTATATGTAACTGGAATAAGTACTGAAATTTGTCCATTCAACAAGCTCGGCGTGGGGTTTGACACTGTTTGTTTGTTTTTATCAAACTGCTGCTGCTGCAGTGCAGACTCAAGCTCTGTCTGTACTTCCTGGCAGGGGATCATATGGCTGGCTGAACAGAATTAAAAACACTTTGACTGGAAAAACAGTTCCCACACATGCATTTCTACTGTGTATTTCAAGCTCAACTCTAAACAGATATAAAAGACACAAATTAATTCAGCTTTGTAATCATTAATACATCATTAAATGTATTTTTTAAATGTAAGCAGTGTAAGTACCTAAATTTATCCTGGTATCAACCTCTTGCAGTCCCTGTACTTCAGTACATTAGGTCTACAATTTAAAAGGAAGCAGCAGCACAAGGAGCCAATGAAATCATGTGCTGACAAGAAGCATGCTAACAGGAAAAGAAAAGAGAGACAAGCTCATCACTGTGCTGCTTATCCTTTCACTGTCCAGTCACTGGCTGGGGGCAGGTCCAGGACCTGCCCCGTGGACCAGCGGGTTGAACGATGGTGGCCATCAGACTGAGGACATCAGTAGAAAAAAAAGTACTGCAGTGGAATTTTTGGACTAAAAGTAAACATTACAGCAAAAGCTGGTTTAGTTATTTTATCTGTTTTTATATTTCTATGTTTGACTGGAGTTCTGCTTTAACTGCTTGCGTGGCGTTCATATTTAAAAGAGAACTAAAGCCAAACCCTTTTTTTGGCTTTAGTTCTCTTTTGGCTTTCAGTAAATTAGTAAATGTACTCTTTTGTCCCAAACTCAGCATATAGCAGGCTACTACAGAGCCGCGCTGCAGTCAGGAAAGATCCCAAAAATATTGTCAGGATCCACTCTGCTCCCTGATTGACAGTTGGCTCTGCCTCTCTAGAACCAGAGCCAGCTGTGCCCGCCCACTCCCCTGTCTGTCCCTCCAATGAGCGCTGGATGAACAGAGAGGGCTGAGGGTACTGACAGTCATTGCTCTCTGCAGGGAGAAGCCATGATCTGAGCGATCAGTGATTTGTGATCGCTTAGTAATTACTGAGTTCTCAAGCTATAGAGCCAGCATGTGACAGATGCAGTGTCACACACCGGCTCAAACTAAAGGGAAGAGTACGTTTTACTTTCCCAATAGTTCTCCTTTAAAGTGTATTTCCACTTTTTGCAGTCAAATTTCAGAAAACACCTCTATATGTTTGTTGTATGTTCTTATTCACACAGCATAACGAATAATAAATCAAGTTTTTTTTCTGAACACCTTTACAGTGATCTGTCCTTACAGAAAGACTAAAGCTGACCATACACCTATAGATTATTTGCAGATTTTCTATGGTCAGATGGAAAAAGTGCAACAGATTCCTCCATCTACACTAAACTGTGTGGATGGCGGAATCTCTCGCTAGGCCAAGCTTCAGTATCTTGCTAGTCGGCCCCGCTGGCTCTCAAAATATCTGAACAATCTGATTGGATGCAGGCATTGTGTTTTGAGAGCCAGCGGGGCCGACTAGCAGGATACTGAAGCTTGGCCCAGTGGGTCATCCCTCCATCCACATAGTTTAGCGTAGATGGAGGGATCTGTTGCACTTTTTCCATCTGACCATCGAAAATCTGCAGATAATCTATAGATGTATGGCCAGATTAAAGACTGGAATTTGAGGATTGTGTTTCTCTCATTAACTTCATTAACAAATAATGGAGAAGCAGGGTTGTAATCTCCTCCTAACATTACAAAGCAGGGGAAGTAAGTAGAAATGTGAACCATTAAGAATCCAAGAAACCCCAATCCAAGTATAAGCAATTTAAACTGCAAGAAGCATTGTTAAAACATTTTTGGGCTGTGAAATACACTTTAAAGAAAAAGTCAACTGTCAATTTAAAAAAAAACTAAAACTACTGTCTTACAGCAAGTATTAGGCCCCATTTACAATTACGAATCGGGCCAATTGTTCCATGAGACTCATGCGAACATCTGAGGATGGCAGTCTGCATCCAGGGTGACCATCTGCAGGTAATTGTGG